TAGTGACATTGTTGGTTAGTGATTCACTGATTCTATCACCCTATAGTGACATCCGTCCAAAGTGGCTAACACCGCAATAGTGACTCAACCAATTAGTGATTTAATGGTAGTGCATCCACCAATTAGTGAATGCCCTGGCCTGTGACTGTCACCGTTGTTGTCAGTTGTCACGTTGTGCCCACAGCCAATGACAATGCCAATAAGTGAATGCACCGGCCAATTAGTGATCGCCTCGTTCTGTTATTGCCCCCGTGTAGTTAACATTGTCATCGCCACGACCAAAGGCCACTGCCGCTGCCCAGGCCAAAGACCACTACGGCCGCTGTCCCAGCCAAAGACTATTGTCGCCGCTGCCCCGCTCAAAGCTAAATGTGAGCCGCCCCCAGGGGCGGATCCAGAATATTTAGTGGTTGGGGGCACATATTAAGAGTAAATATATTTTTTTCATAATGAAGTATAATTAAATTAAGTTCACATGATGGAATAATCCAAAATTAACACACTATAAAGTATTATGAAGTACATTTTATTACATTGGCTCTCTATGTGTGAGTTTTACTTTGAAATGACCCATCACAATTTTCGTTTCTAAAACATATCTATTTTGACTTAACAAATAAGACTCAAACAAAATGTTTTCTCCTCTTGTATACTACATTTCAACTAATTTCACATTGATCAAATCAATTTCTTATAAATATTTCTAGTGAGGATGTACTATATTCGATACACTAACAATTTAACACTTAACTTTTTCTAGCACCTCCACCTTTTTTGGATGATGGCGCCATTTTTCTTTTATAGTGATTTTAACGTTACCATTGTTTAATGTGCAGTGTCCAAATATATTTCATTTCATTTTTACTAATGAATATATTGAAGTGAAAAGCATTTTCTTAAAACTAAATTAAATTAGTTATGAACTAAAAAGAAATAATTATATAAAAAACTAAAAACAAGTAAGTGTACTCTATGCAAACACAACAAAAGCTATTATGATTAGCAATTTAGAACCCTTATAAAAACTGAAATTATTAATTTATAAAATTTAAATTGCAATATAATAGTGGAATAGAAATGAACTAACTTATAAACTTGTTATTAAAATCATAACTAAGAAGTAAAATAGTAAAAAGAAAGAGCACAAACGTAAAAAGAGAATACAAATGTAAAAGTGGATCTCCAAGATAAAGAAAGTGGAGATCGAAAATGTTTTATATAAACGTAGAAGAAAATTTAATTGATTTAAGAGCGAATGATTTACGAGCCATTCACAAATAAACCTTGGGAATACTTAATCGATCATAGCTAATTCTCTTCATATTTTGCCCATTAACTTCTTTCATAATTAAATTACTAAAATAATAGGTTAAAATGATGAGGAGTGGGGAGTTGGGGTTAGGAAATAGGAGATACTTTCCTACTTTCCGTTCAATTATGTGGTAATACTATTGGGGGTCTTTTTTATTTAATTTTCAATGGGGGCACCTCTCTTTTTATATAAAATTTAGTAATAAAAGCTAAACAAAACTACAAAGTCATTGGGGGCATGTGCCCCCATCGGTTTCCAAATGCATCCGCCCCTGGCCGCCCCAGAAAATACCTTTACCCCCGCTGCACCATACAATCCCGGTCACTGTCCACCCCACCAACCCAGTGGTCATCCCTTGCTGTCATTCCTTGCTGTCATCGCCCGCCACCATTTCCTGCCGTCATGCCGATAGTGGAGCGGCGCTGTATGAAGTTAGAAGCTTTAAGATGGTATAAAGTCCAACTGTGCAAGTCTTATCAACTTTAGCTTTTAAGGTATAATGTGATAAAAACAACACCATATATGAGAATTATATGAGAATTAATGATGGTGCTTAAAGGATGGAAATTAAAACGGCAGCCATATGGAAATTAACTATGTGGCCATATGGAAACTAGTCTTAACCTATCTTATAAAGGCCACTTTTTGTTATTAAATGCTCATTGCTTCTACAAGTTAAACTATGTAGTATAGTACCATGTGCAATTTGAGTGTCTCATGCACTTGCCGTTTCAAAATTTATAGTTCACCGTCCAGCTTGATAACTAACAGTGTTAAGTTCGTTTACACACTGCCAGGAGTTATATCGCCTATCTACCCACCTTTTCATTTTTATTTATAGCGCACCTCGTGAATTCTTCCTCTTGCTCCGCTTAAGAAGATGTAGCGTTTGTTATCATGGTCGTTGTTATCTTCCTCATGGATTTTACATTTGTCTCTGCCAGATATATAATGAGTTTCTAACTTCCAATTATCCCCATCTCATGGTCGTTGATAAAAAATCTTTTAGGTATGCTATTTTCTTGTTTATTGTTTCAGCATTCTTCTTTGTACCTTGTCCATTGCTTAATTCAGTTCAGTATTACATTTTTATATTTCATCCTTAGATTTTAGTCCCCTCCTATTAAAATATAAAGCGAAAATGGAAACTAATAATCCAACCTTTTAGCGTTCTTTTTACAATAGTCCCACCTTTTCGTTATTCATGAATAATCCAACCTTTGCACCTAATCTTCATTCACTGGTCCCTGACTAGACCTGCACAAACGCGGGCTCGGGCCGGGCTCGGGCCGGGCTTATTCTAAAATCTCCGCCCACTTGTAGTGGGCGGGCCCGGCCCGGCCCGGCACCACGGGCCTCCTCATATGTCCAAGCCCGCCCACGATAGCGGGCCGGGCTGTCCATCGGGCTTCTAGGCCCGGAAAAATTATCCTTTTTCCAAATTTGTTTTTAAAAAAGAAAACATTTATACAATAACATCACAACATTTTAAAAGCAATTAATGTACTCATAACACAAAAATGTGTTTTCATGAAATACACAAACAATTCAGAAAAATAAAAACACTCAAATTCTAAATTAATAATCTAGGAGCAGTCGTTCTTCTTTGGGGGCTGGTATACGAAGACGGAAGAGTGAAGTAAAACAGGGTTTTGAGTATTTTAAATTTCTAATTTAATACAGAGTACTTGGTTGGGCCGATGGAATTATGGAATAGCAGTAGACAACTAACCATAAAGATGCTGGTTGGTCTGCAAACTTTAGTATGTTAAGTATTTTAATTTTTAACTTAAATTTTATGTACGTATATTGTATAATTATATTATATACTTGGTATAATATATAGTATATATACTATGTTTATGGGCCGGGCTTTTAGGCCCGACCGGGCCTATATTACAACCCAAGCCCGCCCATATCGCAAACAGGCCCGGCCCGGCCCGGTGGGCTAAAACATGTGTCCAAACCCGCCCATTTATATGGGCGGGCCGGGCGGGCTAGGCGGCCCGGCCCGGTTTTGTGCAGGTCTATCCCTGACCGGTTGATGACCTGTTTTTCCAAGTTATTTTCTTATCTTTGCAAACCGTTATACCATAAATCTCACCTTTCACAAAGATAATATTTTTCAAATATAAGAAAATAACTTGGAATAGCAGGTCATTAATCGGTTAGGGACCAACGAATGAAGATGAAGTGCAAAGGTTGAATTATTCTTTGAATAACGAAAAGGTAGGACTATTGTAAGAAGACTGCTAAAAGGTTGGATTATTAGTTTCCATTTTCCCAAATATAAAACAGTGTTTAAGTTTTATGTACTTGAACTTGGGATTCCTCTGTGCTTTTTAATTTGTGAAACCAAAAACCTCTCACCTTTTATGTGTTTTTGTTGTGTGCTTTTTGCTGGTTTTTTTGCTTCATGTTTTATACGTATTATGGAGTATTAATTAACACTTCCATGTTATTAAGGTCTCCAAAAGTTCATATCAAACAAACAAAACTAAAAGCACACTAGTTGTCTTCCATGTTTGATTGTGTGTTGTTTTAAATCCGACGTTTTCATTTGAATTAGAAGAGTTGTACCAAATGATGAGATGCATACATAAGATGATATAATAGTTGTGTGACATTCATTTCTATTGTCCTAACACCAGATGAGTTTGCTTAATATTCTTTTTATTAGCAATGATAGATAGATTTTTGAAGCTCTTAGAATTAGACAATTTAATACCAAGACATATAAATTAATAAAAAAAAAATATGAATCTAACCCAATATAATATTGTACCACTTTGAGTAACCTTGATTGCTTAGGATTTTCTTAAGTTTAGAGAAATGAACAATGATTTACAAAAATTGGCGGTGTTATTATTTTAATATTGAGAGATGGGTAAAAATAGAAAAAACCATTGAAATAAATAGGACCCAGGCCAAATCTTATCCAAAGAACAACGACCCTTCGTCTCATAAAATTCTTCCTGGTTTGATTTGACTTTGAATTTAAGAAAGTGAATATAAAGTGAAAATGTATGATTACGATTGAGTAAGAAAAATATAAATAAACATTAACCACACAAAAATATCTAAAAAAAGGAAATGAGAATTGACTTTTGGGAACATACCAAAAAGATAAAAGAAGAATTTTAAAGGGGATTGAGCATAGACTTTATTCAGTATAGCTAAGTTAACTAATACGTACAATAAGTCATATGTTACTGAAAATATTTTGATTGTACACGTAGAACATGCAATTTAAATTCATTACTGAAAATATTTTAATTGCCTTCATTATCCATCTTTTAAAGTAAATTGCAAATCCAAAAACTGCACATTAAATCTAAAAATGAAATTCATAACCAACAAATGAACAAATGAAGAATGAGAAGGAATCCGTTTCAGATTCCGAGGAAAAATTAAGTGCGAAGTCGTCCATCTAAGAAATTCTGGCTGAAGTGACTGCATTGGCTGTTTCTGCTTATTTAAGAAATTATTATTTTCTAAAATATATTTTATTAATAAAACAAAGAAAAAATTATATGTAAAAATAGCTAAAATGATCATTCATTTCAGTCAATACAGCCAAAAAAGTAGTTTTAACCTTATTTTTTCTGTTTATTACACAATTAAGAGCGCGAAAACAAAAATTACATGTTTGGTAAAAAAATTAAATTACTCTATTAAAAAAAATTAAACACGCTTGGTGTGTTGTCTGCTAATACGACGCAGAGAGAAAGACATCTAAAACTTGAACTGTTCCGCCGAGCTTCGACGCAGAGAGGAAGACATTGATCGTCTACCGTCGACGAAGAGACGGCCTTCGACCGTCTCCCTTCAACCTCTACGCTGATACGACCGGCTTCCAGGATCTAGCTTCCCTACTCGACGGAGATACGATCGGCTTCCGTATCCCGATTCCAGGTTTTTAAATTTATTAATCTAATTGTTTCAACTCCTGTTTTATTTCATCTCACTATATTCAATTAGATTCTTTGATTTTGACTATATGAAGTTACGGACTGCAATTTGGGCCGCCCTTCAGTCTCATATTCTCATATAAAAACTAATTAGGAGTAGTAGGGTTTCTTCAATTGGTTTGAGTTTTAGTAGTCTCATTTCGGGCACCACTGGACACTGGCCACTGGCCACTTCAATTGATTTCAATTTAGTTTGAAATTTTAGACTGATTGAGGCCTTGAGTAGCAGGGTTTGATACTTTGATGGTCATGATTTCTTCAAGTTTGGCTAATTACTTCTGGAGGCTGAATTCTTACTATTTTAAATTGGGAAGTAGCTTAGACTTTAGAGCTTTAGACCATCATGTTAATATTGTTATGAAGTTATGATGGGCACTAGCAGGAACATACTAACATTCTGTCCAGGGAGGTAATGGCTTCTTTTCTATTTTAGTCCTCTTGCAAGTTGGAAGACTTGGAACTATCATTTATGTGGTTTGAGATGAGTTATTTTATAAACTTTTATTGATTATGGAGTGATCAAATTTCGAAGAGGATTCTATTCACCTATATTTATTCTCATTGCCTTTGTATTTTAATACCCGACATCTTGGTACATTCATGATTTATACCCGAAAACCCGGACCGAATTGACTAGTTTCAAACGGGGCGGGTAAGGTCCGGTTCCTACTTTAAGAATTCATGTATCTGGACCAAACCTATCTGTTTAATGTAATCGAGCGGTTTTTTTAAGATTACCCGACCCGTGCCCACCCCTACTTGAATCTACTTGAGAAAGATTTTGGATCTGAAAATCTCTAACAGTTAAACTTTCATATTTTTTAGCACATGAAATTAGATATTAATATCTGTAATTTGCATTTATCATGCTCATATCACTTGTTATACTCCCTCCGTCCCGGAAAATTGTTCCCGCATTGACTTGGAACGGAGTTTAAGAAAGTGGGAATAAAGTGGAAATGTATGGTTGTGGTTGAGTAAGAAAAAGGTAAATGAATTGTAGCCACAAAAAACTTTCCAAAAGGGGAAAGGGGAACAATTTTTTGGGACGGCCTAAAAAGGAAACAGGGAACAATTTTCAGGGACGGAGGGAGTATAATTTAAATATTGTATTTTGCTTGATTAATTATCTCTTGGGTATATTATACGGAGTATTGCTGAACATTAATAGTATAGTTTTCATATATTTGTGGGCTTGTTTATTAATTTTTTTAATTTTTATTAATATTTAATTCTTGTTATTTCTAACTTTTTATATACATAATTGCCCTACAAATTAAGATTTATGCCTCATCATTAAGCCTCAATGCACCATGAGGCTTACACTACCACAAAACCGCCTTTTATACACAATTTCGAACATTGGAGGGGACCCCTATTTTCTTGTTTGGTTATTGTTGTTGCATAGTGTACACGTGCACAGGCTGATAAATTCCTAGGTGGTGGTGTAGTATATCTCTCCCAAGAATAATCACACGAGCATCAACTAGAAAGCCTAGAAGCAACTAAGCAAGTAATCTATTAAACATTTTTTAAAATAAGGTGGTGAGATCAATTGAATAATACAGAACATGTTTTATTAATATATATGTACACTTTCATAATATTTCTTATATGCCTTAATTATTTTCATATACTACGTATGCATTTTGTTGTTTAGTTTAGATAACATACAGTTATCAATTATGCAAAACACAAAACATTGCAGCCATTGTATTTTACATGACCCATTAAAATGCATTCTATATACAGGCACACGTATGGGCATGTTCAGTCATATTTATGTTAAAATGTGTCACGGTGAGGATCAATTAATCAGTACAAGACATTAATTATACTCACTACGGTTAATTTATTGTTGAATTTAGTTCTGTAGGAGGCATTCTTGTTGAACCAGTAATGGTTGTGAGCTGGGTTAGCTCGGAGGGGTTTTCTCTGGTGTTTGTGTTATGACTATTGAAACTTGGAGGTGTATTTGGGTTTTATTTTCGCATGCTTGTGGCTCTGCGGAATTGTCTAGCTATGTTTTTGGGGTGGGGGGGATCTTGGTTGGAGTTTCGGCTATTATGCAAGGATTGAAGCGAGTTTATTCTATGTTTTGGGTAGTAGAGTTTGCAGTTTTTGGAGTTGCAGATTTTTGCCAATATGCTATTTGTGGTCCTTTTTGTATAGCATATTAAGTGTTGTAGATGCACATTTTATCTGTTTAAGTATTTACAGGCATTTGTTTCCCCTCTGCATGACACACTTATCCTTTTACAAGTTTGTGCATATGCATTGCCCATTCATTTTCTTTTACAAAGAATAACTCTGAATGTCAATAGACAAAAATTGATGACTTCATTTTTTCAGAAAAAATTGATTAAATAATCTCAAATCATAAATCTATGTCCATCTATTTTCTTGCTTGCCTATCAACTTCCTATCTGTCCTGAACCTCTGCCACCAAGTTACTTCTGCTGGAGTTGACAGAAAAAGTAATTGTAAAAATTTGTCGCCTTTGCAGGTGATAATAATGAGTTAGGTAGTTGCTTGAAATATTTAAAAAGTAGTCATTTGTCTTCTCATTCCTATCAATTGCACTCCAGGAAAGCATTAGCAGTAAAGGGAAGGATATGAGTTCTTATAATGCTTTTAAAGCATGTGCTCCCGTAGCATGGAGCTCGAACCTGTACATTACTCTTGTAAGAGGAATCCCGGGCACTAGGAGGCTCCATAGACGTACCTTAGAAGCACTGCGCCTTGGGAAATGCAACCGCACCGTGATGCGTTGGAACACCCCTACCGTCAGGGGAATGATCCAGCAGGTTTTAGACAATATAACCTAACTAATTAGATCTAGCCCAGTTTTTTCCCAGTGTTGGTGTTTTTTCATTTCATCTGGCTGTACCACTCCATCATTATCATCTTGAGCCCAATTTCGGTGGAACTGGTATTATGAAAGTTATAGTGTCAATTAGTTAGTTGTTTAAAATTAATGAACTCTAAGTTCATGCAAAGAAAAGCACATTGACAAAGTTTTTGCCATATGTCTGGTCTGTTTGAACCCTCTTGCTAAGGAATAATATGCTCTCGATGTCACAAAGAAATTGAAAAAATGTCATGCTTTGTCAAGGTATATAAATGTGTAACTGGAACAGACGAGTGGCATAAAACTCTGTCGATATGTTTCGTGCATGAACTTATAGAGTTAATTAACTTCAAACAACTAATAGACATAAAATTTATTTATATCTTAAAAAATAAATCTATGGAGTTAGTTAAGTTTAAATAATCAACTGAAAACTTTTCAATGTTGGTAATCATTAAAACCTATTCACTCCATTTCAATTTTACTGGTCTCAATTGGGTGTCCAAATATTTTTATCTAATTTTGTAGAGGGTAGAGAAATACATTTTGTCTGGTGGAAATTTAGTTTTGGGTGGCGAAGTTTTATTTAATGGTAGCTACATTGCTAAAAAGGAAGTGAAACAAGTATATTGGAACAAAGGGAACATTTATTGGGGTAACTATATTTATCAGTATTAATTAGTTTTAATATCTTTCTTGAAAAATTAAATGAAACATAACCTTTTTGTTTTGAAGAAATTTCTCGAAACTAAATTCTTTTCTTAGGACAGGGGTTATGAAGCTCTAACTCCTGCTCTAATAATATGTTTTCTACTTAAAAAATATCGATTGCTTTTTGAAGCTATAATTTGGCTTTTGTTTTAGTTGTCTTTAAATTTGTTATACCTTTACATTTTTTAGGTGAAAAGGTTGGTAGTTGTGGAAACAGAAGAGATGTACAAGGCACGGAAAGAGAAAGAAGCAAACCATCGGGCGTTGCGTCCGCCATTGGTTATACATCATCCAGCCTCATCTGCAACCGGTTCCACTTAGTATCTACCAAATGCCAAGACTATATGTCTTTGTCACCTCATGCTGTTTCATTGGTCAATTAAGTGATTACTTTGTTTTACAATTTATTTTGTTTTATGTGCAGTTCCCTAAGATGATCTTATATTTTGTTTAGATCTTCACAGTTTTGAAGAATGGATTTTCTAGCTTAAATCTTTTGAAATCATCCTGGGCTTTTTTCTATGTAACAAGGCGTTACTATTTCACTGTATTACCATGCTGATTGGCAATGGATAAGAGTCACATTGGGAGTTGGTTTTTGGACTGTCAAGTATGTATGTTTTTTTCATGTATGTGGATATGTATTTGTGATTTTATAAAAAAGCAGGTTAAAGTAATAACATAACTACAGTAAAAAAGTAACGACATAACTACTGATAATACAATGATCTGATCACCTATTTTCATATTTATAAATCTTATTTATCAAGATAGGAATATAGGATTGCTCCTTCAAAGCTTTCCATTCCAAAGTCCAAACCCTCCGTGTGTTTCTTGGTGAAAATTATTTTTTCTAGGTTCAATTCTAGGTTCACCTAGTGTGTTTTCTATTTTGTGATCCGCCGAATAACAAAGAAAACTTGGGGCTTGTTTACAATCTGAGATATTTTCCGTTTTTTTTACTTCTATTTTTTGTTCTCCAATTTTCTGTTTTTATTTTTCAGTTTTTCTATCTCCAATTTTTTGTTTCTATTTTTTAGTTTTTCATTTTCAAATCTGAAAACATGTTCATCAATTTTTTCACTCAGTTTTCCAATTCCACACCCTTGATCCCTATCCCTACGGCCCTACCCTTCCCACGATCATACACTCTACCCTACTCCCCCACAACTCTTCATACCCACTCATACCTACTCGTAGGTGTCGGGGTAATGGGTAGGGTAAGGGGTATGGTTGGGGGTGGGGTGGTAAGGTCTAGGGGTAGGGGGTTGGGTGGGGGGTGGGGGTGGGTTAGGGTTGTGGTTAGGGGTAATGGTGGGGTAGTGGGTAGGGTTGGGGTAAGGTAGGGGTAGGAGTTGGGATAGGATGGCGGTAGGGTGGGGCCGGGACCAGGGTGGGAGTGGGACCGAGGTAGGGAAGGGATAGGGTGGGGGGTAGGATGGCGGTGGGGGTAGAATGGCGGTAAGGGTGGTGGTAGTGGGTAGGGTTGGGGTTGGAATAAGGTAGGGGTAGGGTAGGGAGTTGGGATAGGATGGCGGTAGGGTGGACCCAGGATTCAGTTGGGGCCGAGGTAGGGGAAAGGTAGGGTGGGTGTAGGATGGCGGTGGGGGTAGAATAGCGGTAAGGGTGGGGCTAGTGGGTAGGGTTGGGGTTGGGATAAGGTAGGGGTAGGGTTGGGGTTGGGATAAGGTAGGGGTAGGTTAGGGAGTTGGGATAGGATGGCGGTATGGTGGGCCCGGGATCCAGGTGGGCCGAGGTAGGGGAAGGGTAGGGTGGGGGGTAGGATGGCGGTGGGGGTAGGATGGCAGAAGGGTGGGGGTAGGACGACGATACGAGGGTGGGGGGTAGGATGGCGGTGGGGTGGGGCCGAGGTAGGGGGCATGTGGTAAGGGGTAAGGTAGGGTGGGGTCGAGGTGGTAGGGGGGTAGCAGTAGGGTAGGGTGGATCGGGGTGGGGGCATGGGGTAGGGGTCATTATAGGGAAAATGGGTACGCGGGGTGGGGGTTGGGTGGGTAGGGTAGGGGTAAGTGGTAAGGGACGAGGATGGAGGTACCGGAATGGAATCGACATCGGAGCGGGACCGGACCCACCACTAGGTGTAAGTATGCAAATTCATTGCAGCGACACTGTAGCATCTGCGTTTTCCAAATTTGGAAAACTAGTAAAAGTTATTTCTCCAAATCATTATGGAAAAGAGAAATATGTCTCATTTTTTTGTTTTGGAAAACGATTTGGTAAACACGTTTTTCTTTTTTCCTTTCTCCAGTTTTCCAGCAATTTCTTTGGTAAACATGTTTCCTGTTTTCTGTTTTCCAATTAAAACTGGAAAATATCTCTGTTAGTAAACAGACCCTTATACTCTCTCCGTCCCGTAATTAAGTTCCTACTTTCCTTTTTGGGATGGTCCATATTAAAGTTCTTACTTCAAGCCTTTCCTTATTTGACAAATGATTTATACCAAAACAGTGTCAAACAGTGTCAAGCAGTGTTCAAATAGTGCCAAACAATGTTCAAACAGTGTCCTTCACAGTAAGTCAAATTTATTTCTTAATATGTGTGAAGTAGGAACTTAATTAAGAACCGGAGGGAGTACATAACATATTAAGGGCCTATTTGGTAGCAACTGCATTGGCTGGAATGGCTGAAAAGCCTAAAAACCCTAAAAAGACTGAATTTGTTGAAGTGAAAGTGTTTGGTAATATGTTGGCTGAAAATCTGAAATGGCTGATTGTTTGTAAAATTACTATAAAACTCATTAAATAATTAATTACTTTGGGAATTTCATTCTTTTCAAAGTCACAGCACAACTAATCTTTTCCAATTGTAGCAATATTATTCTTTTCGAAGTCACAGCACAACTAATCTTTTCCAATTGTAGCAATATTACGATTCTTGTGAATTATTGAAATATACTTCGTATTAAGTATTATGTAGACGTGTATTTACCTAACTACTCCGTATTACATCTATGATTAGCATTGTGCATGGGCCATATAGGTCAATCATGCCCATACTCTATTATGCAGTGACCTTGTAATATATATACACACCCGTATGTTTCTTAATGCAATAAGAAAGTGAGTTCTGATCATCTATCAATATATTTCTTCCTTCCGCTTTATGAGTATGTTATTTTTATCATGGTATCAGAGCAATTTAGGCTACCAAATAGGCCCTTAATATGTTATAAGGCCCTTAATAGAAAGTAACACTCTGCAGGAACTTAACAGTTTCCGCTTTCTAGATGGTATATCCTGCAAAACACAGAAGTCTTGAAAAAATGTGAGAGTGCAATTTAAATCACTTGTAAGGCGACTAGCTGAAAGTAAATTGCACTTGAATTTTGGGATGTATAAAACGCGACGAAGATGCATCCCATTGGGTAAATATAAGCTACCAACGGCATGAACTGGAACTGATTCGCCGTTGGGAATTTTGACTGATGAATGAGAGACAGAACTCAAGATATTAACAAGATCACGACCATCACAAGTGATATGTTCTGTAGCTCCGGAGTCGATTATCCAAGAGCGAGAATAAGGCAATACATCTGCCATGATGTTTACTGAAAGAAGATTTAGATGAAATAAAATTTAAGAATTTTATTTCCAGGATTTTGGCTCTGATACCATGATAGAACCCTATAGAAGGCGAAGAACGGAGATTTAAAGGAGGTCCAGAAATGGCGTTTGAGAGAAGAAACGATTGAATGAAAAAATATAGAGAAGTTGAAAGCCGGCGGCTGCGTCCCAAACAATTTTTGTTAATGCACTTGATCAGTGTTCTAAAAGGCGGGACTAGGCACCGCAAAAGCGGGCCTAGGCGTGAGGCCTGAATGAAACTCCTCGCCTACCCATAAGGCGCGGTTAAAGGCGTACTACAATTTCTGGCTGCCTATCGTTAATCCGCATGAAGCCTTGTAAAGGAAGACGGATTATTTATAGCGTTTGGTGAATTATAACGCTTTCTCTCTCACCGGTGTGGGATAAAGAATGGGAACGGAGGAAAGAAAATATCCGTAGTAATTTGTAAAGCATATCTCCTACCGGTGTGGGATATAGAATAGGAAAAAAATGAAATGCTACATCTAAACATAAACTAAAGCATGAGAAGAATACACATATACGATCATGCATGGGTAAGCATACCTCCAGTTGAACTCACATCATAACTCACATTGTAACTCCATACTAAATACGCTAAACAACATCACTTATTATTAATAATACGTAGTATAATATTGTTGTTCGAGTTATTGTTATACTACAATCTTTCCAAATTTATTTTGCAACTTTGAAAAGATTTTAATGTAGTTTCTCAAAAATCTGAATTTTAATTATTAAAAATTGAATTAATTTCTTCAAAAAAAAAAAGAATTGAATTAATTATCAATAGAGAGAATTTAACTTTAACATTGGTTGACCAAAAAATGTTGACTTTGCAAATCAATTTGACACGGAGGGAGTATTATTATTATTATTACTAGTGTTACCGTTTATTGTTTTTTTTTTACAGCCTGTTACCGTTTATTGTTATTATTCTTGTTATTGTAAAAGAAATTATTGTTATTGTAGTTTAGTGTTATCATTGTCAACTTCCTCACCATTATCATTTTATTTTATTTTTAAAAATGTTACTAAATAGAATTTATGAACAAAAATTATAACTAGAGTGACTCCGAGTATGTTTCCATAGTCACTAAAATGTAAAATTTAGTATAGTCACTAGGAGTTATTAAGTCATTTTCCTGTCCACTATTTTACTTTGATCATATATTAGATATTATTTTTTTATTAATATTAATATTTTACCATTAAACTAGTTTTTGCAGTTCTAAATCTTTGTGCAATTGGTAACTTTGTACTCCCTGTATTTGTTAGATTTAGGACTCAACTATTTTTCTTGTTTTTAAAAGTGAGAAAATATGAAGTTTTTTAATACCAATATTTAAAAATTACATTAAAATATGTAAAATAGTTCTAGGAAATTTAAAATAAATGATAAAAAATCAAAACGCCTTTTCACGCCTAAGTCCCGCCTAAGCTTCAAAGGCTTCAGGCTTGGTCATGCCGCCTCGGCACGCCTTACGCCTTTTAGAACATTGCACTTGATAGATAAATAACATCATATTAGTTGATTTAAAGATAAAATTTAGCAAAGATTAGAAGAAAAAAGCATTTAGATTAGGAGGCTGTTTGGGATCGATGGCATCAACAATTGGTTCGTCCATGGACATTTATGTGACTGAAAAGCTCTTATCACAGAATAGGGTTAGGGCATGTTGAGGCGAAAGAGATTATTGGAAACTCAAATGATGCGAGAGAGATTAATATGGAGGGCAGAGCAACTTAAAAATATAGGACCTTGGGTCTGCAAACACTTTAGATGAATGTGGAGAAATAGAGCAAGAAGGCTGAAACTATGTCACAGACGAGTCGGAAGTCATCATCTAGAAGTGCTCTCGTCATCAATCTGGAAGAAGATAACAATGGCGAAAACAGAAGATGTATATGACTAAAATGGAAGGGTAAAGCCGTATTTTTTGTTTCCAACACTAAATTACTTTTTTGGCTGATAAAAAATTCAGCCCAAACAACCCATTTGCCATGTGTTTGGCTATATTTTTAAAATTTCAGGCTTATCAGGCCTTTTTTGGGGTTCCAAACAGCCACTAAAACTTCAAATAATCCAATTTTAAAGTTAAGTTCTCTGTCGGTAAATTTAACCTATTCATCTAAGTTAACCTTAATTTATTCAAATTATTACTACATTCACTTAACTACTTAAGTAAACCTATTTTTTATTTAAACAACAATTTTATATATCCACTTGATTTCACCTAGTTTTATGGCTTTATCACAGATTTACTAAAAATTAAGGTTCAACCAAATCTATATCCAAATTAAACCTAAAAGAAGTGCTGCTATTGGGTCTGATTTTTAAAATGTTGTTTTGAGGTTATTTAATGTTTTCTCCTTTGCCAAGTACCTTGTAATTCGATAACATCTGACACTCCCAAGTCCCAAGGAGTATGTCACAAGTTCGAAACTCATCCCAGACAAGGATGTTGACATTTTTAACATAGCAGATACTATGAAAAAGAGAAAAGTCCAGTAAAAAAACTATGTTTTCATTTGTGGTCATTCTACGCTAAAGAGCTTTTGAAAATATATTATCACTCAGACTAGTAGCATGAATGTTGTTAATAATTAACGGAAAGAGCAAATGTAGAAATATTGATGACATTTTGTAGTTTGAATGAAACTTTGTATTTTCATGTTCTTTTATGATTAAGTTTTAATTATTTCTATGTTTACGATATAAATATTCTTATAATTTTTTAAAACTATGTTACACTTGAATGTATACGCGAGCAACAAAAGTACTTACACATGTTTCAAGCAGAGGCGGAGCCAAGACGGGGGTCAGGGACTCAGGGTGGTCAGACGACCCCTGAAAGTTTGAGATAATACAGTTTCGAAATACCTCTGATTTTTTTTTTTGTTTTGTTTGAAAGGACCTCCGATTTTTGATGTATTATGATCCTCACAACTCATTTCGAGTAAAAAGTTACAACTTCTGAAAAATCAGCACTATCTAAACGTAAAATGGACAAAATTTGTTGCTTATAAAATATGGTATAGTTTACTCATTACTTACTTGACATGAGTCAGAGACAGGGTAAAGACAATCAATCTTACTGTTACCAGGGCCTACTCAATATATCTCTTTGTGCTTTGGTACATGGGTAAGATTGCGTACATTCGACCCCCTCTTACCCCACCAAAGGTGTGAGAGCTTTTGCGCCACTGTGGTAATGATGATGAAGAATTAAGAAATCCCGATATAAGTCGGATGAATGAGTAACTATTGGAGTTTCTATGTAAGGCAAAGGGTACCGTTTGAGGAAGCCAGCGGTGCACAAACTCGTCGACTAAACCGGTATAAACAAGTTTATAATATATATATATATATATATATATATATATATATATATATATATATATATATATATATATATATAATAGAGATCAAATACAAACCCTTCTTAATTTACAAAGTACAAACTCATCTTGACCGTCCGATGAGTTGATCCAAAGGACATAAAGGTAAGGTGACATTTTTGTAATAAAACCCAACTTTTTTAGGGTGCAACTCGTTGAACGTTAATGTGCAACTGCTATTTTATGGCTAAATAATATGCACTACTTTGAACCTCAATATGCAATACATCAACGTTAAGGTGCATCGTACAAATGTTTGCACAATAAGTACAGTTTGTACTTGATCTTTCCCCTATATATATGTATGTATGTATGTATGTATGTATGTATGTATGTATGTGTCTTATGTATCAAATCTATAGTTCTATTCGTCTCATTTAGACTATCAATCATCTAAACTACACATATGAAACATTCAATTAGGTCATTGTCTGAAAAACGTTCCACCATTTTCATTCTCCGTATAGTTGTGTTTGGACCTCCCTAAGTCATTTTTCTGGCTCCCACTGATTTCAAATACACGTATTAGAGATGAATTATATTACACACACTGAATTTTTTGGGGATCTTTTTATCATTTGAAACAAAAAATTCCACCCATTGAGTAAGTATTTTCTCATAATTACATTGGATTAAAAATATGATCTTGTCTAATTCATTGTGTACTTCGTATTTTATATTTTATGTTTTTACATGCATAAACAAAATACTTATGGGGCAAAATAAGTATGAAACAAGATAAATAATTCATACAAAAACATACTACCTCCGTTCCATACAAAAGTTCTCATTGAATCATTTGATAGTTTCTTATCAAACAAAGATTGTTATCATTGGCGATAGACTAAAAGGAAAATCAACTTAAATTTCAAAAATGAAAAATAAAAAATTGATTTTACAGAAATGTAAAATAAAATAAAATAAAATATATTATATTATATTATATTTACAGGGATTAAAAGTGTATTCAAACATATTCTAAATAATCTTAAATAGAAACATTTAGGGGTAGTTTACTTTCAACTTAATGGACTTAATGACAACGACGACTTAATCATTCAGTCACGTTTACTTACGACTTAATTTGAAGCATGATGACTTAACAATCCAGTCAAAAAACTACCTTAATCATTAAACTGGAGAATAACATCCCTTCTCGTTAAGACATCTTTCAAGATGTTTTTCCCGCCAATTTTGTCAAACTGATTGTGGAATATAATAGATTTATATTAATAAATGAAGTTTTCATTGACATATAGTTTAAGAATAATACTAAATTGATTATTTACTCGATTCAAACTGTTTATTCGATATATAAAATAAACAACTTCATATACAAATATCAATTAATCCAGAAATCATTAATCCAGATAGACATTTTGATCCAAAAAAGATTTAATAGAAAAAAAATGTAATGAGGGAGGGATCCAGAGCCTCTGTCTTACTTTAGAGCAAGGTAAAGTGTCTTGCTTCCGGACAGTCATTCGATCACAAATTTAACGGCAATAGATCTTGGGGTCCACGGATCTTGGGGTCCACACTCTCGAATCCGTCTTCGCCGCTGCCCAATCGTCCGATGCGCAAGACACTCTCCTAGTCGGGAAGAGGATCCAATCTATCAAGGGAGGTCCGTATTTTAGAGCATTTGATTTTTTTTGGGCTTATCAACTTTGGACCCATTTCCAATAGTTGAAAAGGCCCTATATAAATAAATAAGATTGAGCATACACGAACTTTGAACCCTATTTCTTCCGCAGCTCGCCGTTCGTCCACACCACTCTGTAGCTCAAATCTAGCGATAATGGTTGGATGATCATGTAATTGTCAATCTATGAAAAAGGAATTTCATATTTATTCCCCTTTTTCTTCGTTTGCAGACTTTCAAGCGGAGGAATGGAGGTCGCAATAAGCATGGCCGCGGCCACGTCAAGTTCGTCCGTTGCTCCAACTGCGGAAAGTGCTGCCCTAAGGTTTCAACCCTGTAAACTTTATGAAATGTCTTAGCTCACGCTGAATTATTTTTTTTTCTTTCTCCGTGTGCGTAACTTCAGGCTTATAGATTTTTCATCTGCATCTATCTAGCTGTTAGTTGAGTAACTGTTAATCATTACCCGATGTTTACACGTGATTCCAATGTTTTATGGATCTAAGGTGAATTAGTTTTAGTTCTTTCTACCTCAGGGAATTCAATAGCGTTCTATTACAGTGTAGCCGAGCGGGTTGGCACTTGAGCACTCGATCTCTACAAGAGCCTCTGTAGCGGAGTGTTCGAAAGTAGCAGGAATGGCTGCCTCTATTGTGAGGGCTATAGTAGTAGTAGCTGCTGATATAGCAGCGCTATAGAATTTCTTAGTTTTAGGCTCTCGGATTAGAGATTTTTTGGGGTAATTTTGGTTTTTACAGGACCGAAGTACACTTTTGAGAACAAAAAGTAACCCCACTCATACCTTTTGAAGTACTACTTTTGACAACTACTGTTCTTATTCTATTTTCGACTCTTCTGAGTCATCTACCACTACTCTAGGGGATTGTTTAGTATGGAACCTAGTACTTCGTTGAAGGCCACAGGATATAACCTTCATCAAGTTTGAAAGTGAAATAATTAGTAAGATTTTAATTTGAATGTCATGAAGTATCAAATTATGAGTAATATGTGACATTTTATGGATATGATGTGTAATGTATGTATTATTCTCATGCATAAAATCTTGTATTGCACATAAAAGTTATCCACATAGCGGTCATCCTGCAATCTGTTTTACCGTTATAGTGATTTCAGGGTGGGCAGATCTTTTCGCCTTCTGGGATTGACTGTATACTACCTTGTTACATATTTATTAGTGGGCTGGGAAGGGGATTTATTAATTTTGGAAAGTTCTAAGGTGCCTCCAATTAGAATATATAAATGATTAAATAATGACATGGTTCAATCATATGCATTGTGGGTACTGTAGCATTCACCTTACTTATTACGGAGAAGCAAGTTTCATTGAAGATCATTATCACTTTTGATGGTGGTTAACTTTACTGGCTTTGCTACAGGACAAAGCCATCAAGAGGTTTCAAGTAAGAAACATTGTTGAGCAAGCGGCTGTAAGGGATGTCCAAGAGGCTTGTGCCTTTGAATGTATGTCAATCAACAGAATAATTTAGCGTGTTCTGTTACTGGGTAGAATTTCTAGTATTTTGATTAACATTTTCTTTTTCCACTACCCAGCATACACCCTTCCAAAGCTCTATTTGAAGGTGCAATACTGTGTTTCATGTGCAATTCACTCCAAGGTTGTCAGAGTTCGCTCCCGTACTGACCGAAGAAACCGAGAACCTCCACAGCGTCCTTTCAGACGCCCAATGGTACGTTTTTTCCCATATTCTCTTAGCTTTATTTTGTTATTATTATTGATAGTAGCATCTGTAATACATAGTAGTAAACTTCTGCGTTGATGCACTAATGCTGCTGGCTCACCCAATTTTATCGTGTCATTTTCATTCAACTATTTTGGCTGTCTGACATTCTTCGATGGCTGCCATATAAAATGACATGCCTACAACAAGCTTGCATTTTCTTTGATGCCAAATATTAATTTTAATTGCAAATCAGAGGTGAATTGATGTTTGTTTGCTTAACTTCACTGAATAATCACTTGTACCACATTCTGAATTTCTGTACTTCACTGTTACCTCTCATCACTGATACCACATTCCACTTTAAATTTTCAAAGGTCACTGTCACTTGTACCCAAGGTTTAAAATGTCTAATTTGGGTGTCAAGGCAGATTGTTTTGAGAGGCAAATTGTTGGAATTCTGTCACATCGAGCTTTAAGCCTCAACATGCATCAACAAACAAAATTTAATAGTTTTATTACCAAGTACTAGCTAAGGTTATTACTAAACTGTTGATGCATAATGTTATGGCATTAACACACTGTGGTCCCTTGAGCACTATTCATCTTGTTTGAGCATTCTAATGTTCGAGTTCCTAAAATAATAACATCAAACAGATCAAAGTCATCCATAATTGTATTTTGTTGGTTGTAAGATTTGAATACTCGTTATGTTTAGTTGTACATTAGTATTTTAAGAAGTGCATATGAACTAAATTTTATACTCTATGGACCTTGTTACTTGCTGTTATAAAATCTCGCCTCCTCCAATGTGATGAAGCCCAAAAGAGAAAATGATAAAATCTGGACCTCCTGCATGCTTGAGCCAGCCCCTTGTCATTTATAAATGGTGTGATCATTCTAAGCAGCTTTGATACTTTTGGCATTTCTTTTTTTGGTTATCCCAATACCTTTCTCACTTTCTTTCAAGTCATTAAATTAAGTTGTGGTTAATGTAAGTTCTCTTCCCTCTATAAAAACTCTTTAACCACCAAGTTTTACTTTATTATTCCATCTTCCAGTCAAATATGGTAAAATTATTTGGGACAGAGGGAGTATTTATGTTTAGACTTGGAAAATATGTAACACACTTGCCTAAATTGCCCATGAGGTTGGGCAACCTTTTGATCAATTTAAGTAATATAAGTCAGAAAATACAACATTACATTGAGTCATACTTGCAATATTTACTCCTTCCGTATCAAAATGACAGTCCCAGATTTGTTTTCGAGTTGTATCAAAGTAATTATCTCATTTTCTTTTTAGAAATAACTCTACCCTAAAAGCTGCTACAGTACACTTTCATAGAGAACCAAAAACCTCTTAGTTTTTGTAAATAATTATCTTGATACAGAGGAAGTATATATTACTCTTTATCGTCCATTCATTTCCCATTTAAAACAGGACTTGATTTTAGTTGAAACCATTCTATATTGGGTGTGCAACTTATTTTACCCTCAGTTGCCTTGTTTATTTTAGATTTTTAGACTCTTTTTTAGAAGTCTATCTTGTTCTTATCAATTGTGAAATTTCACTCGATGCGTTTCAGGACAATGCTCCCAAGCCTGGTCAGCCACAACGCGTTCCGGGAGCTCCTCCAACTGCTGCCCGTACATAGAAGTGACCAGATATCTTGTTTTTTCTCCATTCTGATTTAAAGTTGCTTCATTTTGTTATGATGATGTGTGACCTTGAATATTTTGGTTAAGTTGGAAAATCATGACAGTATTATTACTGAGAATTGCGGGATAAACAACAATTTCTGCTTTGATTATGCATGTTTATCAACTTCTCTGCTGCTGTCCTAATTTCCAAATGCCCCCTTTGCAACACTCATGGTGTGGAACTGTCGGGCGCAGGCCCCTATCCATAAATATAAGACCTCTTAATGGGTTTAATGGTTTTAATAGCGGCCATTCACAGAAAAAAAAAAGATGCTTACTGATGTGTGTAAGATGATGTGTACAAAAGCGTGTCTAAATAGTTTTCTTATTCTTTTTTTTTGGTGTGGGAAGTGGGACAAATAATATGAGGAAACGGTAGCAAAATATAACTAGAAATAAATGTTGCACGTATGTGTAAGTGTATAACATCATAGGCTCTGTTACCTGAAGAAAAATGTTATTCCCTGCCTAGTACTGTAGTACTTGATGTTTGTTACCCTGTACAAAGTCCCTATTAAACACCGTAAAACATACTCCCTCTCTCGCATTAGATTTTGCCAATTTTCCTTATTTTGTTGTCTCAAAAAACGTTGTCACTTTCTTATTAAAGCAACTAATTTGTGTTTTTGTACATTTCTCTCTTCTCCGCACAAATTTCAATCATATAATTTTTACTATTTTTATTTCTCACCTATTTTGCACTTGCCAAACTAGTAGACATGTTTGGACGGTGGTAGTAGATATGTAGCAAATGCTTTAGCAAATGCTTTGTTTGGTGGAGCAGTACTTCGATTAGTTTATGTAATCTACGTGGAAACCTAAATGTTGAGTTCAAGTACTACGCAAGTGAAATAGTGAATACAATTGTTTGGGACTTTGGGTTTAGAAGCTTGGGCCGATTTTTGAAAGTAGACAAAGCCTTGGAGCTTGTTTAATAATATTCAAATCGGTTGATTCTGTTGAAGTTTATTGAAATTTATGAAATTTTGATTGAAGTGTCTAGGTTGATTGATTCTGTTTATTTATGAAAAATTATATTTAAAGTATATTTTTTTATTTAAATTAAAAAATTATATGAAAATGAGCTAAAATTGTTTTCAACAGTGACTTTAGTCAATACAATCAGAAAAATAACTATATTTTTTTTTCTTTTCTTAATTTACACAATTCTGTGTGCGGAATAAAAAATTACGTGTTTGGACTTTGATGAAAAAATTGGTTGATAAGTTTGATAAGTCAAAAAACATAGTTATCAAAAGAGACTTAGACATTCAATATGAATTAGCCAACAATTTTAAATGAATTTTTATCATGTTAAGGAACTGTTTTCCCGTTCGAAAGAACCAAGATTATTAAAAAATAACCATAAGCAATCCTGAAGCTCTCTCCATATAGCCACCGATTTAGGCCTTGGGCTGGGTTGGACTTATACAGTAATGGGCCGGGACGAGCTTAAATAGTACCGGGTCCGGATTGGGCCCGGGTTGGACCGACATGTCCTAGACTCCTAGTCCATCCATGGCTGGGCATAAGGATCAAAAGAAATTGCCAAGGCCGTGTAATTAATACTTGGATTGATATATGGTTGTTTTTTTACTACTTCACATGTTTATAAAAGTTTTTTTTTTTAAAAAAAGTTTAATAAGTTCTTTCTTTGAAAAAAAATCTATATTTTTTTGCATTTGCAAATCTAGGGGCGCCTGGACTTAGCATTTTCACACCATGTAATTTTATATATTGTGAAGAACAAAGAGAGCCGTCATTTCAATACTTTCCTTGCCATATCATTCTTGGTATTTGAATAAAAAGGGAAAAACCTGGAGGCATCGTGGTGTTCCGTTATCACTGCATGATTGAAAATTACTTATATGTGGCATGTTGATAATGATGAGAGTGTGAGAACTCTGGAAGACTTGTGATCAATCCTCGTGAAACATCCATAATAGATGTTACTCCAGTCATTGTTGGATCACAAAGATCAGCAGAGGAAAAATGTATCCTCGGGGTCACATAGACTTCACGTTATCATCGCTCTTGAGATGAACTCGAAGGAGGGCCTGATCACGTTAGTGATGGAGATGTTGCAATGTCACGACTTTCCTCTAATCCTCAAACTACATCAAGTAGATGAGCCTATGAAAGTTCTCGCATGCATGATCACGAAGACCAATGATTGACTCATTAAAGACGTATCTCTCGCATGCATGATCACGAAGACCAATGATTGACTCATTAAAGGCGTATCAGCGTATGTGTCCTAAAAAATTCAAAACATTTCGGAGCATAATATTTAGATGTGATGTGTGTGGGGCAGCTGATCATTGTAATCATTATCACCTGTCTCAGAAGAAGAATGTGAAAGATAAAGATGTCCCCCATGGGATGTGTTAAATCATTTGTGTGTTGGGAGATAGATGAATGGTCTAGGGTAGGGTGGTGCATGCGCCGTTAGACTAGATGCAACAACTTTTACCTGAGTTGTGATTAAATCAGTCTTGTATCAATGGGTGTTGTCCGATGTATTTTGCGTTATTATGGGATTTTCTGGGTTGATAGCACGATTGAGGAAACAGAGTTGACATTAATATTTTTTTCTTGCTCACTTGAGACTTCTGCTTGCTCACTCTTAGAATGTGCACTCACTCAGTTATGTCCCTTGATTAAGCTTAGTTGGTTTCAATGAGTCATGAGAACTTTGACCTCATTGCTCTCCCTCAACATGAATAGTCAGTAGGGTATGCATTTAGACATTGTTTGGCACCGGGAGGAGAAAACTAGAAAAGATTCCCTAAAGATGTGCATCCTTCAGTAACCTCTTGCATTATTCGTTGTCTGGAGCCAGGAGGAAATAGAGACGTTCTTGCTCAAAATTTACAATGTTGATCGCAGTTTGTCTCCAAGGAGGTAATTAAGGACACTATCCTATGGAATGTGCACAAGCTAAGACATGGTATGACGCCACGAGGAAAGAGACACATTCATCCTCATAATTTGCACTTGTAATGATAATTCCATTTAAAGTAGTTAGCGCCAAGGAAAGAGACACATTCACCCTTAGAAGGTGCAAGGTTCATTGCTCAGCATCTCGTCTTCCCCTCATCTGTGTGGAGCAACCGGATCATGTATCACTTATGACAGTCTCTCTGGATTTTGTTTAATTATCAACCCTCAATTTTAATTTTAGAAGATGTTTAAATTTTTATATAAACATAAACTTCTAAATTAAACTCTTGATATCTTAAATGTTCCTCACATCATAATTAATTTCGGGTAAGATTCGTCTACCCCTTGTAATTTTTTATATGAATAAAATTTTGTTAAGTGTTCCCTTGCTTTTACCTCACTGATTTTGGTGGTTTGCCTACTGGGATTAAAAAATAAAATAAAAATAAAATTCCAAATAAAAACATTTTTAATATGTAAAAATAATTATGAAATTCAACACATATAGCGAGGTCAAAAACAATGATTTTAGTCATTTTTAATTTTATCTACAATAAAATTTCGTTTTTCTTTCCAAAACTTTTTTCGAGTTGTGTTACCAATTTATGATATTGTATTATTTATCTTTATCCAAAAGTGAATAATTTAATTCTATTATGCTATCTTAATTCTAAAATCTAGATTTTACATTTTTTCCATTTTATATATATTTTTTATTTTTATTTTCTTTAATTTAATTACGTAAAAGTCAAACAGTTGCAATTATTAAACAACAGAGGATAAAATTATGATATTCTATTAGTTACGTAGTACATAATAGGGAAAACTATCAAATAAGCCCCCATACTATACCGAAAAAGCCGATTAGGCCCTCGTACTTTACAAACACTCAATTAAGTCTTCGAACTATTAAAAAATGTTCAATTAAGCCCTTTTGGTCGGTAAGTAACCGGTTTCCCGGTTAAATGTAACCCGTTTCCCGGCAGCCGCTGTTGCTAGGGTTCGAGCACATCGTCGCCGTTTAATCGGGAAACCGGTTACTTACCGATCAAAAGGGCTTAATTGAACGTTTGTTAATAGTTGGGGACTTAATTGAGTGTTTGTAAAGTACGAAGGTCTAATCGACTTTTTCGGCATAGTACAAGGGCTCATTTGACAGTTTTCCCTACATAATAAGTATGAAGTACTTTATAGTTTAAATTTTAAGATTTAAGGTAAGGTGTTAAAGTTTTTTTTTAAATGAAAATACGTTAAGATTGTAATTTTAATTGATATAATAAAAGTATATAATGTAGAAGAAACTTAAATAATTTGAGAAAAACGTGAAAATGTATGAATAAATGATAAAATGGAGAAAAGTAAGGAAAATTATGCATATATAAATTAAATATTTATCATAATTGGAATGTGGTGATGTAATAAAACATTTCTAAAAAAATATGCTCCCTCCATCCCACAAAATTTGATCAGTTTGAATTTTTAACTTTTCTTGATCAATGATTGTCAAGTTTGACCAATGATATCTTTTGACACGAAGTTATTTAAAATATAAAAATCTTATGGAAATTTTTCTTTTAAAAAAATACTTTCATAAATTAAAGTGCTACTCCCTCCGTCCCGCTAAAATTGTCCCATTTTACCATTTTGGGAAGTCCCGCTAAGATTGTCTCATACCAAATTTGGTAAAGATTGTGTGACTATAAACCATTCTTACTTTATTCCTACTTTATCAATTTAATATCAACCATACAAACTCAGTTTTCTTAATAATTGCGCCACTTTCTCCCGTCCCAATCTTAGTGGGACGGAGGTAGTAGTATATATTTTTTAAAATTTCGTACACATATAATAACAAAAATCATTATCCAAAGTTTATTACCATATAAATATACTACGTATTATTCATAAAAAATGTAAAATTGATCAAGTTATCTTGCACAAAGTGAGCATGCGACAAGTTAATAAGTAAGGATGCAAATTATGACTTGTTATACCGTGGTACCCGGCCCACTATGAGCACCATACTCCCAGGGTAAAATCCGCATGAACATTGACGCGGGTGAACAATGTTTTTTTCTTTGTGTATTTCAGTAACAGGTTGGTGTAACTCACGTTTAACAAAATGTAACTCATATTGATAGGAAATGTATCTTGAGTCAAGTTGGAATGTAAGTTGTCTAAAATGAAATATAAGGAAAAAAACATTGATTTCAATGTAAACAATGAAAAATGATCCTAATTGCTCAATTACTTTTTGCAAATAGTGAT